AGATAGATCATATGTAATATAAGTTGTAGAATCAATAGATAATGCTTTAAAAATGACTACATGTGACCTTACATGTTCGAGTCTGTATTGCTGTATATTTCCAACTATATAAACTAATTTAACCAGTTTCACTTGTGAGTGCACTGATAAAGCAAGATAAGTTATTTCAATTGTCCTCTTTCATGAACAAGTACTTTTTTCATTGTAAATATATTTAAATACATCATATTCTTCCATCTCTTAACCTTTAGCAAAACCTTTGACCTTTAACCAAGGCTCTGTGATTGGCTGTTCACCAGTGATGTCACACAATCATGTACATGTGCTCCACAAACTCAGGATCAAAGCCTGAGTTGACAAAGAAAGTTGATGATCAGCATCATGGTACCAACAAAGCCGGATTGGAGTGGTTTGATTTTGTCAACTCGAAACTAATCCTGTGACTCTGAATTTGTTCATCTACCATCATGGTACAGGCCCCAGGGGCATTCATTGTCATAGTAACTTACACTCCACAGCTAACCTGCTTTGGGGCAGGTTATGTTCTGGTTTAGAGATCTCAATGCGAAATTTGACCAATCAGCTTCAAGCAAAGTGACACATGTCTGACGCAATAAAGCCACTCCCCCAGTTTCTCTTACTTCAAATTAAAGGATGCTACATAGTAACATTTTTAAAGATAAAATTGTCAGAATTTAGAGATGATTATTTTTATAATTATTTTATATGATTTATATAATTATTATACCCTTAATCCATTACACAAGCTAGCTTAGTTTAATAGTAATTATTAAGCTTTTATTTTAAATTAATATAAACATATAGATAATATGCAATATAAATACGTTTTAGAATCAATAGCTTTAAACATGACTACATATGAGCTTAGATTTTTAAGTGTTTTTATACCTATAAATATTATCAACTCTATAAACTAACTTTTACTTGCACTTACATGGCAAGATGTTTTCTTCAAGTGTTCCTTTTTCATGGATAGATCGTTTCATCTTGTAAATGTGCACCAACTACCAGCCGCCCAACGTTGTGCCTGGAAGAGATCTGGCTAAGGTGCAGAAGGCCGTCTGTATCCTGAGCAACAATACTGCCATTGCAGAAGCGTGGGGCTGCCTGGACCTCCACTATGTAAAAGTAACCATGCATCACACAATTGTGGTTTCTACCTGCTTCAGACAACCTCTTTGTAAAACTTTTCTGAACCAATTCTGAAAACACATCTTAACACCAGCTTCAATGGAAAAAAGAACTGACCCTACATGAGAACAGGATTCTGACAATCTGAAAAAGAATAGAATAGAATTTCTTAATTAACCACAAATGGCTGATACATTAAGATATAACATTATAGGGATGCACCGAAATGAAAATTCTGGGCCGAAACCAAAAAATTATTTATTTATTTCTAAATTATTTATTTTATTAAATAATTATTTATTTTATTAAATAATATAAAGTAATTTTGTATGACTTTTTAACTTAACTCAATAATTTTAATGAGACTAAATTTAAAAAACACAAGCCAATAAAATAACCACACTTTTACTGAAAGTAACAATAAAATTGGACAGAAAATATATTAATATTTAATATCATTGTATTATTTTTATTCAGTTCTATGCAACAGAATAAAATATAACTTTTTTGGGACTAATTATCCAAATAATATATAGTCCTACAACGCTATTATTACTAGCGCATGTGAGCAGTGCGGCGAGACATATTTTCGGCATATTGCATTTTAAATTGAATTTCGCTACCTATATGCTTCCATAACTATCCGGGACAACTTCTTTATGCTTACAGATGTGACGTAATGACGCAGTGCCGTGCTCGAATTTCCCGTGAAAACCTACCCGTACCACTCAACTTAGAAAACTTTATTACAAGCTTACCGTTATGAATCGAGCTAAAGCAAGGCGATAGTTTTTAACACTGGCTGGTTATGTACTTGCTCAAACAATGATTTTGGATCATTTTTAACCAAAAACGTTACGGACTGCAGCTTTAACTTGCATGCATGTAAACTCAAACTCTGGACATTATACTATTACTTAAAAATCATATCACCGTTATTGAAAAAAATTATATCGCGATACATATTGATATTGAATTATTGTCCAGCCCTACTTAGACAATTACAGTACAAGTCTTGCACAGAAGTTCAAACTCTTAATGAAACGTACTAAAAAAAGACTCATACAGACTCATGCCCTTCCCTTCCCTTCCCCCACTCTGCATGTTTCTGATAAGAATAAACAATGGACTTTAACCTAAGAGATATAAGATACAGCAAGAAAAGAGATATAAGAACAAACAACCAGTTGACGAAAATATCTTTTGTAAACTGGCAATTACATTCAGTAGCTTGTTTCATGCAGACCTAATAAACTAATACCATATTGCAATATTGTCACATTGCATTGAATTACGATCCTATGTTTAATTTCATATACTTTTGAAACAATAAATTAGATTTTTTTTTTTTGCAAGGAACTATGTGTAATATGAGTCTGATTCTAATATGTGGCGAGTGTGTGTGTGTGTGTGTGTGTGTGTTACAAATTTAATTCAGGCCAAATGTTATATTGATGAATCTGAGCAGGAGCAGAAGACAAACCCAGAGAGTGAAACATCACAATTCTCTTGGAAATGTTAGGGTAAATATATGATAGTTGCAAATATAATGCAGCTGTTAAGACATTTATGGAATTACATATAAATTTGACACTCAACACTACTCATTAATCTTTTGTTATTCTCACATATAAGCCAAAAGGAAATACTGACAGTGTAAACAGTCTGTTCACTTATGGGGTTTGTTTTCTGCAATTGTGTACACTGTCTTCTGTATGTATAACTGATATTCATAAACCTTTATTAAATAAGTCAAGAGTCATTAAAGATCATATATAAACACACATTTTTATAATGTAATCACAGTAAATTCATTCAAAATAAAATATTAGAAGCAAGTGATCAACTTGAGGGCCAAAACACTAGTAACTTAAGTTCAAATTCTCTGTGTTCTATTTGTGAAAACAAGATTATCTCAAACATACAAACAGATACACATACAAACACACACACACACACACACACAATGACATATGAGTCAGAACAGAGATAACAATGTGCACTTGTTCACTGACAATGTACAATATTTACTGTGACAGTAAACAGTTCTAAAACAGATCAAATAACAACATCCATAAATAAATGGATATTCATGCAAGACTCCAGATGCTCTTCTGCAAATATTTTCATGTGCAACAATCCCCTTTGCTCTTCATCCCCTCTTCATTATAGTCCTCCAAATACAATATCGGCGACTCACTTTGGGAGCGTTTTTGAATGATGGATGGCAACACCAGATCAAAGAGTGTCTCAAACATAATATCTACATTAAATCCAGTCTTAGCGCTTGTCTCGAAGCACATCTTTTCCGCTGGTGGGCTGGTGCCCTCTAGTGCCTTATAGCGAATTATGCGGTTGTACAGTGCTATGGTATCATCCTGACTCACCTGTTTGTGCAAGGGAAAGTCTGGAGGTGTGGGAAAGGATGGAAGGGGAAGCACACTACCCTCTTCTGCCACTTCCTCCAGGGTCATAACATGGGCTTGAGTGTCAGTGAGGTCTGCTTTGTTGCCCACAATGGCAAATATGCTGTCACTATTGGCCGAGTCAGTGAGAGGTAGGAAGCGATCTTCAAGCTCTACGAAGCTCTGCCAGTTTGTGACATCATACGTGAGAATGATGGCTGCAGCGCCACGACAATACATGGAGCCTAGACCGTGGAACTGTTCACGACCTGATGAAATAAGAAGCACAGAAATACAAATATTACAGTTTTTTTCAACTGCTTACATTTTCAAAACTTTGCCTCTTTTTTTTTTTTCAAAATTTACACACAAATCCAAGAATTGCACACACAAAATTCAAAATGCCTCACATCTCTTGCAAAATGAAACCCTGCATTCAAAATATTACAAGAAATATCACAAACACATCTCAAAAGCAAACATTTGCAAACACCTTTGACATAATATTAATTCCTGTTAGGTTTTTGTGTGTTACATAGAGAATTGTGTTTTGTATTTTGCAAAGTGTTTTATGAAATTGAAAACTGAGTCAAAGGCTGAGAATTAGTATGGTTTTGCAGATTTGGTGTGTGGTTGACTGTCCTGTTTGAGTGTCAGGTTTCAGAAATTGTGTGACAAGTAAAGATTTTGTGTGTAAGCAGTTGAAAAAAAACAAAAAAACTGTCAACATTTCAAAAGTTTGAACTTTATGTTTTTGATAGAAGTCTCTTCTGCTCACCAAGGCTGAAATTATTTGATCAAAAATAAAATAAAAACAGTAATACTGCAAAATACTATTATGATTTAAAATAACTTTTCTATTTTATGTAATTTATTCATGTGAGGCAAATCTGAATTTTCAGCCGCCATTGCTTTAGTCTTCAGTGTCCTCCAGAAATTATTCTAATTTGCTGCTCAAGAAACATTTCTTATTATTTATGAACGTTGCAATCAGTTGTGCTGATAAATATGATAAATAGCAAGTTCAAGCAAACAGCATTTGAAAAAGAAATCTTATAAATGTATTTACTGTCACTTTTGATGAATTTAATCCTTGCTGATAAAAGTTTATAATCTCTTTTTAATCTTTTAAAACACAAAACCTTTGAATTGTAGTGCATCATGGTTTCCACAAAAATTTTAAGCAAAACAACTGTTTTCAACACTTATAATAATAAGAGATGTTTCCTAAGCAGCAAATCAGCATATTAGAATGATTTCTGAAGGATCATGTGACACTGAAGACTGGAATAATGTCTGATGAAATTCAGCTTTGCATTACTGGTATAAATTACATTTAGCAATATATTTACATAAAATCTATCTATCCATCTATCTATTTGGAAAATAATAATTGTATACAGTTCATGACTGTATACAGAACATGACTGTTCATAGTGTACCGCAAAGCTCTGGAAGAAAAAAAAAACACCGTAAAGCAGAAACAAGGACATTTAAGTTGTTATTCAGTAATCTTGCCCTCCAATGACCTGTCAACTTGAAAACTATTGTGACAGGATCACTGAGTCAGTAAATTAAAATCAAGAACCCGATAAGTCCAGTTTCTGACTTAAAAATTCTTATTTGTGTGACATGGAAATAAATGACAGCATATGTGTCACACAACATGAGAGTAGGTAAATAATGGCAAAATTGTAATGTTTGGGTTACTCTTTAATGAAGTAAGAACATTTAGGCCAATCTATTCATTTAGCACACTAACAATTAAATCAAATAATGTTGCTTTTTCAACCCCATCTCAAGGTCATGATTTCTTCTGAACATGTATATGGGGTCACTGGAATTTTTTGAAGGAGTGCACATTCAGCTGAGAAATTTCTGTTCCTCATAGCTACATCTATGGCTTCATCTATGGCTTCAGAAAACCAATCACTTTCATTTCATGGAAAAGAGCACATGTGAAAATGTAACATGATTGTAATATTAACGCTTAATTTTTGTGCTTTCACAGAACAAAGAAAATAATTTGTGCTTGTGCATAAGGTTGAGTAAATGTTGACAGAACTTTCTGCTTTTAAATACCCTGGAATGCCTTAGAGTTGCATTGTACCGTAAATCCTTTACTGATGTAATTTTTGTTTCTACAAAGCATATGTGAAAAATGGGTTGGCAAATGGGGGTAAGGGTGGGCAATATCATCAGAATCTTATTTGACGATATAATTATTTATGTTACTTTATTTTATTTTTGTTATTAAAAATAAGAATAAAGAAACAAATTACAAACAATATGACAAATTAAACAACGACACAAATGAAAAAATAAATTAATATGTTTTTCAGCCACAGTAAGTTTATCAAGCAGTAATAAATTGAGTTTAACCCTCATGTACTGTTCCGGGTCAATTTGACCCGATTTGATTTTTGAGTTGTCGGAAATATCAGTTTTTTTCTTGACGTTTTGTGACTTTTTCTCATTTAGGGTCATGAACATGCATGCAAAGTTTCAACACACTGATGTGTTTTGACATGTCCACAAAATGTTTTGTTACGTTCGTACTGTTCCCGGGTCAATTTGACCCGCCTATTTTAATGTTCTAAGACAACTCTACAGAGCCAAAATGATAACATTTATTGCTTATATTTTTTTATTTTAGTTTTTTACTATACTATGAAGCTAAATATAATAGCTTTTTCCCACTTATTTCAATGCAGAAAACTATTTCGCCAGCCACAGGTGGCAAAAATTAGCTATCTTTTATTTTTTCAGTCTATCTGAAATGCTATTTAACCCATGTTGTTTTTCTTGAACTTTTGTGACTTTTTCTCATTTAGGGTCATGATGAGTATGCATACAGTTTCAACACGCTGATGTGTTGTGAAATGTACATACAGAAATGTTTATACGTTTGTGATGTTCACAGGTCAATTTGACCCGCATAGGCAGCCATTCAAAAGCAACTACAGACACAAATTCAACAATACAACACAGACACAATACAACAAATTCCTTTGTTGTATGTCAGAGCTCCTCAACTCTAGTCCTGAAGTGCCTCCTAGTGCCAGCGTCTTGATGAGTTTAACAACTTTTTAATTTCAAAGTTTGTGAAAACAAAACTGCTTGGCCTTTTAACTGTATGTCCCACTTTTTGAGCATAGACATAAAAATGACTTTTCCAGCTAAAATTCTTATAAATCTTGAAAACTTTGGAGCACAGACTTAAATTTGGTATCTTTTTAAAGGTGAAACATCACAGATTATTGTAGAAGTAAATTTATTAAAAAAAACGTAGAGGTTTAATTTTATGAAAATGTAAAATATAAAAATATATATATTGTTATATTATATATAAAATATACATTTTACATTTTACAAAACATGTTTACCTCCAAATCTTCAAGAAAATCAAAGCCAATCATCTGAACAAGTTTTGTGCCAAATTTTAGGATGATATCTCAAAAAATTAAGTAAGATTTTGTGGATGCAGAACCAAACTTTTCCACTATGATATACAGGGACTCTGATTTTAATTTATTGTTTAAGTGTTCTGAACCATATGTTTCCATAATTTTAAAAATATTTATGAAGTAGACATTCTATTCAGAAATAGTTTGGGCAGCAACTTTAATATTTGATTTGAATTCAATCTCTAAAACACATAAAAACATAAGTATAGAATAAGAGTGTGTTTGGCACCACATCATAAATGGAAGATCTATCGCTATTTATCTATTGCTCTGTCATTTCTTTGAAAAACAGTCACCAAATATGAAAACTAGAGTCTGAAACCTTTCAAATGATATATAGTTTGTAAAGATTACTTTAGGTTTAGACCAAGATATTATCGTTAGAAAATGTGTAATCGCAAACATCCCACAGGTGTGGGGGAGGGGCAGTCAAAAATAGTGGTTACATTTTTTTTTATAAATCATAAATTCAGATATTCATTCTTTGTAATGTGTGAAAAGCATTGATATTAAAAGTTAATTGATTGTACTTGATTTTATGTTTTTTTTTTTCATATCATAATTTTTGTGGAATTACATTGAATCCAATACGGGTCAATTTGACCCGGACGATACAGGAAGTCACCTGTTTTTGAACAGTACATGAAACGAGTTAAAATGGGTTATAATAAAAAAATATTAGTCGGGTCTAATAAAAGGGGTTAAATACGTACAGTACAATTATACAATTTTAAGTGGTAAAAGAGAATACTCCTTCTAAATAACAAAAATAGCTAAATACCAACAATTTTGCATATTATTTTCTGCTTTAAATTAAATTAAATTTCATTTGAAAAAAATTAATTAAAATAAAATTTTCAATTTAATGACAATTTTTAAAAGTAATTTTAGTGTTAAATAAGAAGCTGTTGTTTGTTTTCCTTGTCAGTTAAAATGAGATGTGTGTGCAATGTGCAGTAGGCTATGTGAAAACAACCTCAAAAAATCAATGAGCTACAGCAACAGCTAACAATGCAGCCAGTGTCTATGAAACAGCAGCCGGTTCTGACAGGAAGTAAAGTCATTACTATCAGCTGAGCCATACTATCACAACTACAAAAACATGTTACCCTTATCGACATGTTTAGATAAAGGCCAGAACAATCAAATAGGCCTATCCTTTTGCTTTAATCTTTAACATGTCTTTAAACACACACACAGAGTTTAAATAGTTTGATGGAATACAACATTTAGATCTGTTGCTTTCATTCAGCAAATGTGCATGCTTCCTATCAATGACTGCTAAAATTCCGTGTAAAAATTTCCACATTATTGCTGAAACTACCAAGATTGCAAAATCCTGCAAAGAACACAAGACATTCATTGCAGCAGTCATTGATGCAATATATCAGAGTAATCCTTTCCCTTTTTTTCATTTAGGCTACTGCTTTTAGAAACTGGCAAAAGATAAAAAGGGGCAAAAAATAAATAAATATAAAAATAAAATATCGTCCACAAAATATAGTTAATTTTGGCAGATCATGCTCGATTAGATTTATTTAGATTAATGATTTTCCATGTCATAGGATCAGGGACATTCAGGAATTTACAAGACTAGGCGTGTCACTTGATTTCAACAATCACATGTGGAAGAACTCTTGTCCCAGTCAAAATATCAAATTCTAAATATCACGAACTAGTATGCATGTATATATTTATTTATTTATATTGGTACTCTCTCTAGAAACAATAACTATATTAATTTAATGTTTTCCATAAGCACCTTTAACTGCAGGTTTCTGCATCTGATTATTTCCGTTGTATTGGCCAAAACGGAGTTCCATCAATCGTACCCGCTGTATCCCAGATAGAGATGTTGTACGGACCCCACTGCTTCAAGAAGAACGCTCCGCCGATTGTGCTTAAAGTTTCCTTGAAGCTTCTCTCTGTGTACCTGTGCAGGAGGGACGTTTTCCCTACATTCATGTCTCCCAGGATTACAATTTTAATATCAGGCTTTCTCATTTTCCCAGGAGCAGGCATGGGTTTAAGGTTGAAAACTCAGTGATAAAACGATTATCTCAAAATTATAGACTTCCAACTCCACTATCCATAACAAATGCGCGCCGTCCAAATTCCTTTGGTGGTTGTTAATTTCGGCTCGTATTGCAGAAACACTTAAGGAGCCGATCTCAGCAGGTCTTCTGGGCTTTGGCGAGTTGATGGACTTGTTCGTGCCTAAACATGAACATAAACGGTCCTTTTAAAAGAGCATCAGTGCTTTGCTCCCACTGAAAGTTCACTTCTAGCAATGACGAAACAGGAAACTCAAAACCAATGGCACAATGCAAAAAAGTCCCGATTTAAACTGCAAATGTCGTCACACAGAAGACCAAAGCAAGGAGAATCGATTTTTTTTTAATCACTTGGATCTTATAAATTAATCTTTATTCTTCCCATTCTATTTATGTCTGTTTTATTTAGGAATGTTACATTACAACATCTAATTTGCACCAATTCATAATAAATATTATGACAGTCTTTTTTTTTTATACCGACATTTTATCTTTATTCTTCCCCATTTAAAGAGGAAACATATGACAGAGGTCTTTAGGGAGCCTCTTCATAATGTATTCATATATCAAAAGACAAATCTTCCCAGAAAAACCATAAATCATGTTGTGAACAGAAACAGACACTGCACACAAGTTTTCAAGCAAACGAGCATCAAATAATATGTATAACTTTGCTCCAACTTGTAACATTGCTATGGTTAGCAATAGCATACCATATTCCATTATGATCATCATCAGACAGTGAAGGTCAATCACGATCCTTGACTTAAAAGTAATTTCTCTATCAGAATGGTTGAGAAATGTAGTTTGTCCCAATGTCCCTTACCGAGACAAATATCATACAAAAAGTTGTTAAACTGAGTTAAACTAAGAACAGAGTTGTTTTATTAACAATTACAATCATTATCATCAGACACAAGATGTGGTTACGATTACTAGTGGTGTTACAGCTTTAGTTGCATTACAGGAGGGACGTTTTCCCTACATTCATGTCTCCCAGGATTACAATTTTAATATCAGGCTTTCTCATTTTCCCAGGAGCAGGCATGGGTTTAAGGTTGAAAACTCAGTGATAAAACGATTATCTCAAAATTATAGACTTCCAACTCCACTATCCATAACAAATGCGCGCCGTCCAAATTCCTTTGGTGGTTGTTAATTTCGGCTCGTATTGCAGAAACACTTAAGGAGCCGATCTCAGCAGGTCTTCTGGGCTTTGGCGAGTTGATGGACTTGTTCGTGCCTAAACATGAACATAAACGGTCCTTTTAAAAGAGCATCAGTGCTTTGCTCCCACTGAAAGTTCACTTCTAGCAATGACGAAACAGGAAACTCAAAACCAATGGCACAATGCAAAAAAGTCCCGATTTAAACTGCAAATGTCGTCACACAGAAGACCAAAGCAAGGAGAATCGATTTTTTTTTAATCACTTGGATCTTATAAATTAATCTTTATTCTTCCCATTCTATTTATGTCTGTTTTATTTAGGAATGTTACATTACAACATCTAATTTGCACCAATTCATAATAAATATTATGACAGTCTTTTTTTTTTATACCGACATTTTATCTTTATTCTTCCCCATTTAAAGAGGAAACATATGACAGAGGTCTTTAGGGAGCCTCTTCATAATGTATTCATATATCAAAAGACAAATCTTCCCAGAAAAACCATAAATCATGTTGTGAACAGAAACAGACACTGCACACAAGTTTTCAAGCAAACGAGCATCAAATAATATGTATAACTTTGCTCCAACTTGTAACATTGCTATGGTTAGCAATAGCATACCATATTCCATTACGATCATCATCAGACAGTGAAGGTCAATCACGATCCTTGACTTAAAAGTAATTTCTCTATCAGAATGGTTGAGAAATGTCCTTTAGTTTGTCCCAATGTCCATTACTGAGACAAATATCATACAAAAAGTTGTTAAACTGTGTTAAACTAAGAACAGAGTTGTTTTATTAACAATTACAATCATTATCATCAGACACAAGATGTGGTTACGATTACTAGTGGTGTTACAGCTTTAGTTGCATTACAGAACTAATAATTTTTTGCAAGGCTTTTCAGCAAAACTAATTTCTTTGAAGAGAAGAAAAGCTTTACAAAGAGTCACCACTGAGATGCTACAAACAGTTTGTGTTCTAATAGATACAGTTTGGTCCCAATTCAGAAAGTGGTTAATCCTTCCTTGTCTCTCCTCTTCTTGTTATTTCCCATGTGGAGTTTGTGCCTCTATCCTGAAACCAGAATCAAAATTTAGCAATGTAAAACACAGTGAGTCTTGCAATGTGCTTTCTCAGAAGGCGCTGGATGGTCTTACAAGAGTTCAAGGGATCAATAAAGAACATGCATAGGAAAATGAGCATTATATGGGTAGATAAATGTTTGGTGACTTTTAAAGGGGTCACTGGATGCAAAATTCACTTTTGTTGTTGTTTGAACATAAATGTGTGTTGGAAGTGTGTGTACACATCCACCCTATAATGATAAAAATCCACCCAGTGTTTTTTTTTTAAATCCCTATTTTAAAATCCCCTTTCTCAAATCAGGCTGTTCTGAGATTCCTGTCAAAATGCCGTAGTTCTGCACAGGCCACTCACACGATAGTTGATTGACACTAGCGTCTTACCTTAGACCCGCCCTGAGTGAGCTGCCATCAGTCCGCTATTGTGTCGACTCTGGTGCAGGGGAAGACAAGAATGTCTCCGATTAAGTGATTGAGGTGTTTTGTTGCTGGATGTAACAACGAACATAGCAGTCGTCATTTACTCCCGAAATCTGAGCCGCTGAAGACGCAGAGGATTACCGTTACTTAAGGAATGCGCCGATCCCCGATCTGCCTAAATCCGTTTAAGTTCGCGTAAATCATTCATGATCCAGCTTCATCTACAGAAGAAGTGAGTATAAGGTT